GGGTGGGAGTAGGGGGTGGGGGAGGCGGCTCACAACAGGTTCAGAATAGATAAGTGAGTAGCACATAGCATTAATATGCATTGAAATGTTTAGTGGCAAAAACAAGGGGGAACGTGCCCCAGCCGGCGAGGGCAGAACCTCTGCATTTGTCATTTTTTAAAACATGGTAAAATATAAATATTTAAGTCTGAATGAGTGTCATAAACATAATTTGTTTAACTCCAACTATAGAGTCCTTGATGAGATTTTCGGCACCCGGGAGGGGTGTCTCAGGGAGTGGTAGCATATCTCCCGTCTGGAAGAAGTCAATAATTTTAACGAGAACACTGCTTTGAAAAAGCATTTTTACCAGCAGAGAGTGCCATTTCCGAGTGTCTAGAGGGGTCGAATTTTAAAATTTGCTCACCTTAGCCCCAACCATGGTAGGGCTGAGGTGCGTGTGGACTACAATGACGGATTCAAGGGGGTTTGAGCTGGCCGCTCCCCCACTCTCTTAATTTTGTTCAAAAAAGGGAGAAAGAAGGAAAATGTAAAACTTAAATTAAGTCTGCGATTGCCATTTCCGGCCATCAAAAGGTGTCATAATCATAAATTTTCTTACCTTAGCCCCAACCACAGTGGGGCTGAGGTGGTTTCCATCCCTAGGCCCCCTGTATTTTGAAATCCTGGATCCACCACTGGACTAACTATTGAGCCCCTCCCCCGTTAGAAAATTATTGGATCCGCACCAGCAAGCGTCCTGAGTATAGTAATACTATCGAACGGAGCCTAAGATGTAGTAGCTAAGTACAGGCTTTAAAACGATGGCTAGACCCGTGTGAATATTGTCCAATATATCGTAAAATAATGAATACGATTTTTGATTCCGGCAAACACTAGTTGTACAGTAGTAAAGAATAGACTAGATGGGGTCGTGGCAAGTCGTGGGTTGACAGTGCGAGCCGATGTTTGTGCATAAATCTTCACCGTCGTCGCGCTCGGTTCTCAAAATTATGCCTTCTATTTTACCGATTTTACGTGTGTGCATCTGTGGCCCAATTTTGGTCAAAATACATGTCTGTTTTAGATTTTATGTTGTAATGTTAATTTCGGATGCGGTATTTCTCGAAATTGTACTTGAGTAAAAGGAAGACATTTTTTTTTAAAATACCGACCCGAATTATTGGAAAATTTTGGTCGGTCACGGAGGGCAACACAACATAATTTTTTTGGACTAATCATAGAATACCGGTATAATATATACGGTACAATATATTGAATTTTATAATTTATAACTAACACAATTACACTAATAAAAATGCCTAAAAAATAAAATTAATTAAATAAAAATGGAACTAACAAATATATTTAATTTTGCAATAATATGAAAGCACATTTTTGGGAAACTACAACAGAAACAAAATTTTCCGAGAAGGACGTCTGGACCCCGAACGGTACCCCCTCCCACTTTTCTCCAACCACCCACACCCTCCCTCCGAATGGCCGGACCACTTTAAAAATGCTTCCGACGGAGTTAGTTTCGACCTAGGCAAACCTTCGCTAAAAAGGTACACTTTTTCCATCAAAAGGCTTTCTTCTATGAATGGAATGACCTGTTCGAAGTACAAACTCCTGTAGACCAAACCCAGTACCGTTACGGTTTTTAATCGTACGGGAAATCCACGATACTGTATTTTTAGAAACGATAGTATGGAAACAGAACTTTACTATCCAGAACACAAAATTACTTGATGATTAACAACAGTGGACTGAGGGAAACTCCACTGTCGTAGACAGCTCTACACTGATAGTTCTATGCTGATACGAATAATGATAGATAACAGTGGCGGATCTAGGTGGAGTGAATAATTCACATAGGCTAGCCATTCCCTACCCCTTTTTGGTTATCGTTAAACAAATGATCACTCGTCTTGTGTATGTGTTTCCCGTGAATACATTAAATGTAGAAGGCTACCCTCTAAAACATACACTTCTATTTCAAGCTTTTCAGATGCTATAAACCTTTA